AAATATGCATGCAATATTTTTTTATCCGAAACTGAATAGGAAATAATCAGAGATGGCAACATAAATAATGAAAGAGTGTGAAGTTCATTTGCAATACGTTCTGAAATTGTACTGAAACATAGCCGAGGAAGGTAGTTGTCTGAGTCTGTCAATGCAATTGAGTTCCCATTTTAGAAAAAAATAATTATGAACCTTATAAAGGATAGGCTAGGTTTCAATTACACGCAGTAAGGAAATTGAAATTACTTCTAATCACGGGCGAATCTACGGAGGGCAGGGGGAGGGGAGCTTTCGGGCTGAAGCCCTCCCCCCAAAGTGGTAAAATATAACAATGTTTTACGGAAAATATAGTAAAAAATTATTTCTTAAAGTATTATTGTTCATGTAATTACATTTAAAATGACTTAAAGAATCACTTAAACACGATTTCATATAGATAGTTAGTTTCTTTATTTTTTTTTCCAAAGTAATTATCGTAATTTTTATGAGAAAAAAAAATTTCGGGATGAAGCTCTCCCCCCCCAAAATTAAATCCTGGATTTGCTAGTGCTTCTAATTATTTTCCTGAAGACTGTGGACTTCGAGGAGGCACAGGGCCGATAGGCTGTTATCTATGATTGCTACATTGCTTACATTGACATTTTTAGGTGGACAATCGGCACTGTTGAAAATTTACTTCCAAATGGTACCTATGACGGATTTTTCTAGCAATGGGATGTTGCACTAAGTCAGTCATTACACTGCGTTTTGTTAGGAACCGAATAGGGCCAGTTCGTAGTTTTTCCGTTTGAAATTCGTTACTTAAACTGTGAAAATATTTTTTAATAAGCAATACTTGTTTTACCTCTTGAAAACTTCATCCGCACCTACCATGGATTTTGTATATGAATGTTTTAATTATTTGTAATATGGTATTTTATGCATGAAGAAGAATAGTACCCAGCAACACCACTTCCTGGTTGTTGTTGAGTTCCTTGATTCAGAATAAAAGATCTCTCATCCAGTTCCTTTTCAGTCGCTTCCTGATGGGCATTTCAGCCGTGACCATATTGTTTGTAACTCTATTCTTGTGTCCGGGTACTTAAACATGTGTACTACTTTCTGATAAAATACTGTTATCTAATAAAATACTATTATCTAATAAATACAATAAATAATATAATAAAAATACCATATAAATAATATTATAAAAAATACTATAAAATAATACTTTTTAAATTAAATAATATACTTAAAATAATAAAATATAATTTAAAATAATATTATTATCATCAATAAAAATTAATTAATAATATTAATAAAATTTAATTAATGATATTTAAATTAATAAAATAATATATTTTACTATATTTTAAATAATATAATAAAAAATATCATATAAATAATATAATAAGAAGTACTATTATCTAATAAAATACTACTCTCTAATAAAATACTAGTTTACTATATCGTATTTATTTGACCGCATCCCCGACCAACTCCTTCTTAGTTCAATTTATATTACATTGAAAACAATAATTTGTTGTACTAGAATGTTAATATGTTATTTTCTTATGTTAGGTTCTTTTCATATGTTCAGTTTCTTGATGTGAGTGGTGTTTGGCGGCTTCTGGTGTAGGAAATTTTCACTTTATAGTGGAAATACCTTATTCATGTGGAATAATATATAAACATATTTATACAAACATTTTGAGAATAAATTTGAAAGAAATTGCGGAAAATCTGAGCTAAAAAACAAACTTCGTTTTTATCAGAATAATAACCCCAAACACTTTGCCATGATAGTAAAGGAATGGCTAATAACTGCATCAAAGCCATAAAAACAACGCCACATTCTCCAGATCTTAATGTCATATCACATGTGGGCAATATTGGAAGAAAAATTAGAAAACACGAAATTTCTAGGAAAGTAGACTTAAAAAAATATCTCCTGGAAGAGATGAAAAGGCGATGCACAGAATTCACCAACAAAAAAAAATTGGCTGACTCTATAACAAACATACTGAAAGAAATGGGAGAAAATGAAAAAGAAGTGAGGTGTATCATTTTGACTGTGTATAACATCGATCCTATTAAACATCAAATATCCATTGAAAATCTAACATCAGAAAGTAGTAAAAAATCTAGTTACCGGAGGAAAGTAAAAATAAATGGTGGTAGAAAGCGTGTTAAAAATCATATACGTTTTTTATGAACATGATATGATTTGAAATATATTTAATGAAAATTAGCACTCTCCTCCATTCCTACGAGTATGAGCTTGAAGTTATAGACCCTAAAGCTATCTTTAATATACAAACTGATTCAGTTGTTTTGGTGTTTAGCAGTTACAAGTGAAAAATGGACGGTCCTTTTATGAAATGCCATGAAGTATTAAATAATATTTTTATCATTTTTATTCATCTCCATTAAAAAAAAATCGATGATTTAAAATAAAATAAATAACCAAAAATAAACTCAGGGAACGTTAATAATCGTTCATGATTGTTAAACATAGATCGTGGTTGAGGTGCGGTCAAAGATGAAAAAAGTACTCACAGAAAGGTTATTTTCTTGTGTGCTAACATTAATAATGTTTGTTGTATCACCCCTAAAGCTAACATCCTTGTTAGATAACTTTCTACGGAACGGCGAGATAAAAATATTTCTTTATGATATTTAACTGAATAAATAAGAGGAAATAAGTTTAAGATCGGTAAGCGGCTTTACAAAAAAAAGACAAGTGTTCTTCAAAGGATATTGCTCTATTCTTGAACAAATTTTAGATATAGTAATAAACCTTTAACACTACTTTCTCTGAACTCATACCATCAATTCATGAATCAACACAGAGAACTTATCGAGTGAAATAAATGTATAAATCTTTCATGATTCGACGATTATTTGAAAATAATAGTAACATTTTTTTCCGTGAAAATTAATTCTCATCATCGGTTTTAAAATCGATAAATATATATAAATAATTTCTTCCGGAAGTTTCCACATAAGTTAAGATTGAAATGCAATAATTTAATACTTGTGCCACCCAAGAGAGTAAAGAAACAATTCATTTTTTTTTAATTTGAAATATTTCGGGTTCAATTAATATATGGTGTATCCTTTTTAATTTTAGGAATTTTAACTTATTCCTTTGAAACTGAAATAATACCGAATTTAATATAATAACAAAAAATCTGTAATTTCAACACCTTTTACATTTCTTCTTTTTTTTTATAATAAATTTACGAATTTTCACGACTGAAATTAAATGAAATACACGAAAATATAAAAAAAAAGAAAAGAAATAAAATGGAGAAATTCGGGAGAAAAAGATGTCGAGTTTAAAAATTTTTTGAGTTAATACAATGCAATCAATAATACAATCTTGTTAGTAGGATCCATGCATTATTTTTATTTTTAATGTTTGTATATTTTAAATATACTAGTTTAAGAAGAAAGAGTTTAAAAAAGTAATTTATCGATTGTTGTTCCGTTTCATATTTACGGCATGTCTTGAAAACCATTTAAGTCCTTAGGGTATGAGTTACACTTACAAGGTTTTCGAAGAGAGGTATATAATATTATGTTTTTAATAATTCTTTATTCAAAATTTTGTTTATTAAAAAAGTAGGAATAAAGTATAATTTATAAATACCCGACTGCTGTGGACAATCTTCTGTCACAAGTTTAGAGATATAGCAGTCAAGGTTAGGTTATCACGAACTCGTTTAAAATCTCTCTATTTCGTAATTCCACGACTTTTATAGGTGATATATTTAGCTATTTTAAGTATTTACTTAATGTAATTTTCGATTTTATATTTTAGGCCATAATTTCCAATCTTATTTTAATAACATAAAATATTTTTGAAATTAATTTTTTTCCTAAGGCCGAAAAAAAACTATTGCTGGGACACTTGTCTAATATTTTTCGATGAAGAATCTTGGTTGAAATCGGTGTCCCGCTGACTGTGACATCCTCTTGTAAATGGGAAAATGATTATACTTAAGAAATCAATATGCCTGGCCCGTGCTTAAAATAGGGCCGTTATGTGATTAGATTGATGTGATTAGAGTAGATAAATATATATATATATATATATATATATATATATATATATATATATATATATATATATATATATATATATATAAATATATATATATATATATATATAGAGAGAGAGAGAGAGAGAGGAGCATTTAAAAAAATAGTAAAGTATTATGTACCAGCAATGCCGACGGTTAGGCTGTTTCTTATCTAGTTTGATACTATTAAAATATTAAAAATTCTTACTTCCTGTGTTAAAGAAAACCATCTGAAAGTAAATCTCATTAGAATAAAAATCATATACATTCACAAAGATAATCCAAAAAACTTAAAGATATTTAATGATGTAGAGATGGTTGAGCGATAATATAATATGAGAAGGAGTTGATCGGGGGGTGCGGTCAAATTAATACTAAATTAAACAAGTAGAATTATTTAATTTTTGCCGACGTTTCGACCCACTTTGTAGGTCTTCATCAGCATGTAGCACTGCGGGAGGCAGTTGAAACACCTGTCTTAGATGTTTCTTTAACTTCGTCTGGTATATTCTATAAATTATTTAAACGTGAAAATTACTGTGAAAAATAGAAATTGCAGTTCAGAGATTACCCTATTATTAGATGAAACTATTACCATCACCGCACTTGAAGAGCCTTTTAAACTAAAATAAAAATTCTGGATAATAAGACTGGAATTTTGCATTAAATTACTAATTTTAAAGTAGTAAAACGCATCCTAAACTTTCTACAAAAAATACTTCTCTTAGCAGATAATAGAATTTCCAAAATTCGCTTTAATAAAGCTCAGAGAAAAACATCATGTTCGTCCATCAACAAAATAAAATTACTTCACTGAAATATATAAAATATTACTAATTCATTATTCTGATTAACAAACCATAACTGCATTGGCTAGACTGTTTTTTTTACAACGCGAAAGCAATACATATCTTTTTTAAATAGTCTCCAAAGCTAGAAAAGTATACCGAGCTTATTATTGGTCAAGGCTAGACGATAGAAGTTCTTGTCAAACACGTACACTCCGAACTAGAAGTGAATTAGCCAAAGATTAGTTTTAATAATACAATAAAAAATAATATTAGGCGGAAGAATCTGTACCTGTTTTCCTGTTTCTCTTCGCCAAGGAAACCCAAGGTTGTTGACGTGATGATTCAACTCACAAAAATAGCCCTTAGAAACTCGAGACATCGATAGTTTAAACAATCATTATGTTTATTGATTTTGTGTCTCAACAAACTTTAATTATTGAGGATCACGGGGTACTAGCATATTTCTTTTCCTTATTTTAAAAGTTAAGAAGAGAAATCCTTTCTTATAATCTAGAATCGTAAACCGGAAAGAAATCAGCAATTTCTTACAGCAGAAAAGGATAGTTTTTGTAGTTGCATATTACAAATAATGTAATTATTTATATTTATAGAAATATTTAAATTTTATAAATAATAGAAGAATAGAAAAAATACCTAAATGGTTACTGTAAATAAATAAAACCAGAAAATCTTCAACAGATTTATTTATAATCTCAATTAAACTATTTATGAACTCAATCAAATTAAAATATTTAACGGTGATTATTTAAAAAAAAAACTAGGTAATTTTACTCCATAGTCAAATTGATACACCTCATTTCTTATTAACTTTTAAATACTATTAATTGAGTTCAATACCCTGTAGGCAAGCCATTATTTTTTACCACTTCTTTTTGTTTGTAATAGAGTAGACCAATTTTTTGGTGAATCATGGGCTTAGCCTGGTCCACACTTCGAGAAGATATTTTGTTGTCTTATTTGCAATATTGGAAGTAAAAATTTTTTTGTTGAATCATGGGCTTAGCCTGGTCCACACTTCGAGAAGATATTTTGTTGTCTTATTTGCAATATTGGAAGTAAAAATTAGAAATTTCGTATTTCTAATTTTTACTTCCAATATTGCACGGAGGTTTTGTATTACATTAATATCTGCTGACTGTGATGAAAGTTTTATAACTTTGAGGTAGTTATAAAGTAGTCATTGCTTAAATAACATGGTAGAGTGTTTGAAGTCATTATCCTGATAAAAACTAAAGGGTTCTGGCCAATGCGACCCAGGAGCAGAGAAAAAAAAAATGTATAAAATTGTATTGTTTTGTTATGTTACTGTTTGCTAATTTTGATCTGCATGGATTTATAAGTTATTATACATCAATCGATTTAATTTTTTGTGTAAAATAAGAAAAATGCATTGCTAATTGTATTAAACGAATTATAAGGTACAATAAATTACAGAAACCTATAGACATTTCCAGTAAAGTAAATTCTTGTCATGAAAAAACGATTTAAATTCGTTTTTAGGGTTAACCAAAACTCTTAAGTACAAGTTTGTTTTGAAATATATAAGTATTCAATTTATAAGTATTTTATATAACTATTCAAAAATATAAGTTTTTGGACCTAATTTTATGGGATGATTTTTTTTTTTAATGCCGTTTACTAAAATATTCATAAGGTTCAGATCAAAATAGACCTCAGGTTTTTCTCCTACGTCGACATTACTACGTACCGTTGGAAAGCCAAACTATTGCTCCTCAAAACTGTATAGATAACTTGTATTTGTAGAAATGAAGTAGGTTATGATATGAAATTCAGGAAGAAATAAAACATACTGTATTAATTAGTGCCAACGTTTCATGTAGATTATTATAGGCTGGAAAAAACAAGATATAAGAATTCCACTCCAACAATTCTTCTTTCTCTCACAAAATTTATTAAAAACAACACAATGCCTTTTATATATATATATATATATATATATATATATATATATATATATATATATATATATATATATAAACATGAATTTCTCAAACTTCAAGACAGACTAGGTGATACTAACTACACTGACGGTTCGAAGAGCTCCGCAGGCGTGGGAGCATCATTTATACGTAGCGGATAACAGATTTTTTCTCTGTCACCACTATGTAATAATTATACTGCTGAATTGGTTGCAATACATAAAGGTTTAAATGTTATACAGCCCACTAAACAAAAAGTGGTCATGTGCACAGATTCTCTATCCGCCTTAATTAGTCTAAGAAATGCCTTAATTATTCTCATCTAATGTCATCATACAAAACATTCTGTACCCAATAAAGTCCGCAATAAAGTCCCAATAGAAATAATATATCAGTATTTTTTGTCTGGGTCCCTAGGTGTTGCGGAATAGCCGGTAATAAGCTGGCTGATCGAGCTGCCAAAAAAGCCATTACTGATGGAATACCTTGTCGGGAAGTACCTATTGAGGATTTTATAACCGTCATCAAACCGAAAATGAAGACAAAATAGGGACAGATATGGTCGAATGTAACCGAAAATAAATTGAGGGAGATAAAGGGTGACGTTTCCTCTTGAGTATCGTCAAATAGGAATAAGCGCAGGGAGGAAGTAATTCTACCTCATGGCCCTTGATTCTTCACCAGCATGGGTCTACTTTGACAGTGAAACACATTTTAACGGAATGCAGAGCTTACGAAACATTTAGTCGATCTTGTGACTTGGCAAACGAACTACACTTCATTTTACAGGACGAATGGAATTGACAAACTATTTTCTTTTCTGAAATGTTCAAAACTTGAAATAGGATCTTAATCTCAATGGAAATAAGGTGATAATGACCCTAGTGGTTGAAGCCTTTAATGAAAAAAATAAAAAGTATGAATCATATAAACGAGAAGAATAAATATAATAGGGTGACATCGGTGAACAATGCATATCTTGATAAGTATATGACGCACGAAGAGGTGGATAACGAAAACTGCTCCGAAACCCGAGACTTATCCTTTTAAAGGGCGCAACTGAGCAGGCATGTCATATCATTCAAAGACGATTAGTCTTAATGAGAAGGAATCCTTATCTTGGCATGAGGTTAGGAATGAAGCCTCACTTGGACTAATTGGAGAGAAGGATGACCGGCTTTGGAATTTACTCAGTCATGTTGGAGGTGCCAACTAGGCTATAGTTACTATTTAGTGTTGTCAGTTTTTCGCGAATGTCTCATAGTCAACGTGATTCTCGAAAAATGTTCAAGTTGAAAGAGAATTAAATTTACTGTGGAACTTGTGTAGCTTCTTTAATGTGTGAGCATGCCATCGGTAGTCGATATAATCGAAATATAGATATTTTCCTTCCGATATTCAATATCTCAACATCGATAATATCTACTTCGATATCGTCTCTTCGATATTTTTAAATTTTAATTTTAAAATAAAAATAAATATTATCAATTTTGGAAAGCGCCAGCAATTATATATGAATCTGATTGTTAGATAAAAATTACACTCATCTAGCTGTTTCATATAGAATGTAGAGGAAAATATCGATATTTCGATAATTTAAACTATAGATATAAAATATCCCTAATAGCGCGCCTGAAAACTCTTCTCTAGTGTTGCCCAAATGCGAGACCGAGACGAGTCTTGGTCTTGCAAACTCAGTCTTGGTATAGATCTTGGTCTTGCGCAAGACTCTCGTAATAGTCTTGCAGTTACCTATAAACGTATTAATAGAGAGATATTACTGTAATTTTTTAGATAGGAGAAACGTCTGAATGAAAAATTAGAAGAGTTAAATGCAAAAGTATATGTTACACCAATTCTTTACATATAGTAACTAAAATTCTCAAGTTTTAGTAACTATTTTGCCTCAAATTTTATTCAAAAATCTTTTTTTTTTAACAGTCGTAGTCTTGGTCTAGCAATGAATAGGCGATGTCGGTCTTGGCCTTCCACTTTGCAACTTTGTGATTTTGGGCAACACTACTCTTCTCAATCAGTAAACTCAATTTGCCCAAATTTGTTAGTTAGAAACCTTCTCAAACCAAGGCTAGGAATTGTCAAACAAATCCATGTAGCATGCAAATGAATCAGCATTTTGCTGAATTCTATCTATAGGCGAATGCAAGGCATTATTGGATGAATGGAAATTTCTGAAAAAAAAAAAATGAGGATCAAGAAGATAGACAGAAACTAGAAAATTAATTGTATTAAGGAGTGTTGAAGAATGGATATATCCATTAATTAATTTAAAGAAAAAAATAAAATATTATTTTGATGCGCCCATTTGTGTAGAGAATAAATATTTATAGTGATATTCCAATCGATGGAAATGTCGACGATCGATACTTAAAATCCGATACTTTTTGTTTATATTTTATTGGACCTTCGATAACCCATCTCTGCCGCAGCTTCACTCGAACTTTGATGTTTAATTTGATCGATCCTACATAAATTCAACACAATCAAGTATAAATTTGTTCGTCATTTCCTATTGTTTAGTTTGCCTAATTTTTATAGCTATATTCTGCATTCTACGTGCCATAAAAATTTATTATAATTGTTTTTAACTCAGAGACTAAAATATGCCTGCGTTTAGAGCGTTTCTTATGTTAATAATGGTTAGGGTTTCTTTATGAAACAAACACAGACAATGCAGAAACGTTGATTGTGGAATAACACTACAAACACAGAAAGAAGCCATATCGAGGAGTATACATTGTTGTGATCACTGACGTCACATATGACAGTGTTGCCAGTAACAGTGTTGTAGGTAGAATATACAATAACAAATTACATCAATTAATTAATCCTATCATCTTAAAGTTTCTTTACCTTCTCGCAAATTAAGAACTCTACATGAACTTTTTGCCAATTTAATGCTCTTTCAATTTGAAGTAGCGTGTTTCGAGTATTTATAGAAGGAAAGTAAATTTGATTACCGCATGACTTATATATATTTTCTGGATAAATAGTTACAGCAATGAATACTTAAATGTTTTTTTAAAAAATCATTGAATTCAGATTTGTATTAACAAAAATTCATTGAACAGAAATTTATACTCACGTTATTCAAAGTATTTCTAAACTATTTTTGTTCATATGCCCCATACCATGACTATGGAGTTTATTAAATTATTAATATGAAAAATATGTTTCATTGTTATGTATTGAGGAAAACCCTCACCACATTTTTTATCGTGACGAAATAAAATAAGAACTATTTTTGTTCATATGCCCCATAGCATGAATATGGAGTTTATTAAATTATATTAAACTATTAATATGAAAAATATATTTCATTGTTATGTATTGATGAAAACCCTCTTTTCTCTCACATTTTTTATCGTGACGAAATAAAATAAGAACTACGTTTAGGGAA